GTTTTTCCCTCCAAAATATATTCTTGATCTGTAGGCAGCATGGGCCACTAACTGAATTGAGAAGCAGAAAATTTTGGTATTTTGGTTCTAGCTTGCCTCAAACTCATACTGTGACCTTGAGCAAGTTCATTTGCCTCTCTGGACTTCAGTTTCCCCAAAATAAAATGAGAGAGTTGAAACAGATGAGTAGTTCTTAACCCTATCACATCGATGTCCTCTTTTATTTATTTAAAAGATTTTATTTATTTGAGAGACAGCACGTGTGTGCATGTGGGGGTGGGGTGGGATGGGGGAGGGGCAAGTAGACTCTGTGCTGAGCTCGGAGCCCCAGGTGGGGGCTCAATTCCACAACCCTGAGATCATGACCTGAGCTGAAACCAAGAGTCAGACACGCTCAACCGACTGAGCCTTATTTTATTTTATTTTTAAAGATTTTATTTATTTATTTGACAGAGAGAGAGAGAGAGCAAGAGCAGGAACACAAGCAGGGGGAGTGGGAGAGGGAGAAGCAGGCTTCCTGTGGAGCAGGGAGCCCGATGCGGGGGCTCGATCCCAGGACCCTGGGATCATGACCTGAGCTGAAGGCAGACGCTTAACAACTGAGGCACTCAGCGCCCCCTATTTTAATATCAAATGTTTTTGCAGCCTCCCTTTACTGTGAATTCACATTTATAGATACTAGATGATTAAAACTGTACGCGTAGTTTCAATAAACATCAGTATAACACCCTAACTATAATATAAAATAAAAAGAAAATAACTTTTAATAAAATAACATGTAGTTCAGTATATATTTCAGCCTGTCAGATGCATGCACCATTGTGTATAATCACTGTAAATGTGACAGCTGTGGATGCAGATGAAGATGAGAATGTTGTACATAGGTAGGTCAAGTACCCCATATTTCCAAATGATGGCATGATTTTCTGAAATGTTTTTTCTTTTAAGATTTTATTTATTTATTTGACAGAGAGAGAGACAGCGAGAGAGGGAACACAAGCAGGGGGAGTGGGAGAGGGAGAGGGAGAAGCAGGCTTCCTGTGGAGCAGGGAGCCCGATGGGGGGCTCGATCCCAGGACCCTGGGATCATGACCTGAGCCGAAGGCAGACACTTAACCGTCTGAGCCACCCAGGCACCCGATTTTCTGAAATGTTGATCAATTTTGGTAAAGTTTCAAACCAGGGGCACCTGGCTCGCTCAGTCGGTTAAGCGTCTGCCTTCGGCTCAGGTCACGATCTCAGGGTCCTGGGATCGAGTCCCGCATTGGGCTTCTCGGGCTCCCTGCTCAGTGGGGAGCCTGCTTCTCCCTCTCCTTCTGCCTGCCACTCCCCCGGCTTGTATGCTCGCTCTGTCAAATAAAAAGAAAAAAAAGTTTCAAACCGAACATAGTACTGTTTTCCCTCAATTTACATGGTAGTTGCAGTCCCCCAAAAAGTCAGTGTTATTAAAAACATGTAAAAATACTTTATCTGTAAAATGGAATTAGAATCTAGGCACGGACCATAATCATTTTTAAAATTTTAAAATTTTTATTTTTAAATGTTTATTTATTTGAGACAGAGAGAGAGCGCGCACACAAGCAGGGGGGAGAGGCAGAGGCAGAGGGAGAAGCAGGCTCCCCACTGAGCAGAGAGCCCGATGGAGAACTTGATTCCTGAGGACCCTGAGATCATGACCTGAACCGAAGGCAGACACTTGACCTACTGAGCCACCCAGGCGCCCCACAGATCATAATCATAAGCAGTCTTTCCCTCACACCATATTGGGTGGCGCATTTGGAAGTTTTTCTCAATTCCTTGTTGTGTTGGTTGGTCTCCCAGTGCGCTGTAGACGTCTGGCGTTCTATGCTGCGAACACCAGAAGCATCCCTACACATTTTCATTCTGCCCCCTAGGGGGCGCTGCTCCCCGTGTTGAAAACATCTGGACTAGAAGAAGCCCTCGTCTGCCCATTTGATTCTTGGAGCCCCTGCCTATTGATTGAGTGAGATCCATCGTGGGATATTGTGTCAGGACTCAAGAAGTCCTGTGTGTGTTTCTACCTTTGCTTCTTGTGCCTCCAGTGTAAACAAAATTAAGGACTTGTTTTAGGAGAATTGCTGTGTCTTAGAAAAGACTTTGAAACGCTGGCATGGAAAGAAGCAGAATAACTCATTAGTTTTCAGTGGATTAAGGAAATAGGTTCCACCACTTAGTTATCTGTCTGCATTTGTCATTTTGTTCTCAAATGTGCCTTAGGATTTTTAAATAGTTTCTTATTTTCTTAGGGAAGAGTAATATGTGTTATAGTCTGTTATTTCCAGCAGATGGCAATGTTTGGTGCAAAAACCATTAGGTTTAACAACTGCAGATTTTTCTAGGCTCTCTTTGTAAAATCCAAACTTCATGGCGCATATTTGAAAGTATCTCTCCGTTTTGAAAGACTTGATACGAGTTAACTTGCTTAAGGCAAGGGATAGGCTGGTGAAGAAGATGCCCGTAATTCAAATTTTTACAAATTAAGTCACATTTTACTATAGAAACAATATTTTAATAGAATGGCTAAGATATATGCTTTTATGCAATGAATATTTATCCCTTGATTTGTCTACAAATTCTGATTTCCTTATAGGTTTTATTTTATTTTTATTTTCTTAAAGTTTTTATTCATTTGAGAGAGAGAAAGCACAAGCAGGTGGAACAGTAGGCAGAGGGAGAGGGAGAAGCAGGTCCCCTGCTGAACAGGGAGCCCGACGCAGAACTCAATCCCAGGACCCTGGGTTCATGACATGAGCCGAAGGCAGACGCTTAACCCACTGAGCCACCTAGGCGCTCCTCCTTATAGGTTTTAAATAATAATTTATTTCGAAACAGTTTCAGACTACAGAAAGATTGCCAGAACACTACAAAGAACCCCCATAGTCTCTTTAATCTCAGACGCCCCAATTGCTACTATTTTACTCATTTGCTGCATTGTTCACCCTTATCTGTGTGTCCATTAGCCTTAGTCTTTCTCTGAATCTTTGGAGAGCTAGGTGTTCCATCACCCCTAAACACTCCGGAGTCTTTCCCCCAAACAAGATCACTTTCCTACTGGCATAGCATATCACTAGCATAGAACCCTCCAAATCAGGAATCTGCACTGGTATCACATTACCATCCGGTTCACATCCATCCATTCAAATGTTGCCAGCTGGCCAAACAATGTCACTTTTTCCCTTCGTGGTTTGAGATCCTATCCAGGAGTATGTGTTGTTTAGTTTGTGATCTCCAATCCAGACTGGTTCTTCTGTCTTTCTCTGTCTTCCACAGCCTTGAAATTTTTATAGAGTAAGGACTTTACAATCTGCAGGATGACCATTAATCTGGGTCTGTCTGATGGTTCTTTATGAGCAGGCTCAGGCCGTACATTGTAGGCAGAGATTATACAGCGGAAGTGATGCTGCACGTTAGGAGGCATGTGATGTCAACCTGCTTCGTCACTGGTGATGTTAACCATGATCTCCTAGTCATCAGGTTTTAGCTAAAATCAACCGTTGAATTAAAACCCAATTAAAATCTGTCCTTTGGATTTTTAAAAAATTTTTTTTAAGTAGGCTCCACACCCAGTGTGGGGCTCGAACTCACAACACTGAGATCAAGAGTCGCATGCATGTTCTACCAACTGAACCAACCAGGTGCCCCTTGGGTTTTTGTTTTTTAAAACAGTACATATTAGGGGCACCTGGCTGGCTCAGTCCATAGAGCATGCAATTCTTGATCTCAGGGTCGTGAGTTCAAGCCCCACATTGGGCGTGGAGCCTACTTGTTAAAAAAAAAACAAAAAACAGTGCACATTGAGTCTCTCCATACTCCAACTCTAAACTTCAGAAAAAACACCTAACAAACACCCACTTTTATTTTATTTTTAAATTTAAATTCAATTAATTAACAATGTATTATTGGTTTCAGAGGTAGAGGTCAGTGATTCATCAGTCTTATATAACACCGAGTGCTCATTCCATCACGTGCCCTCCTTAATGTCCATCACCCAGTTAGCCCGCCCCCGAACCCTCCTCCCCTGCAGCATCCCTCAGTTTGTTTCCTAGAGTTAGGAGTCTCTTATGGTTTGTCTCCCTCTCTGATTTTGTCTTACAAACACTCAGTTTTAAATAATAAGTCATTTCAAACATTACTTGGTCAATTTGTACCAGCATTTTCCCTTTGCTAAGAGCATGTTATTGATTTGAGGGGTGATTACTCTGAATTAATGGTGTGTTTATTGGGGGTTACCAGTTAAGATCTTCATCTACTGGGGATATTTTGTAAGAAAGCTACTGACAGTTTGAGTTTGATCACACATCAACAGAAACAGCTTGATTGGTAATTGTATTTTCTTGTGGTTTATTCAGTATTGAAAATTACAATATTTGAAAACAACATCTTTTATAAACTTGTTGCTACTACATCTCAAAATACTTAACGTATAAAAATGTAGGGGTGCCTGGTTGGCTCAGTCGGAAGAGCATGGGACTCTTGATCTCGGGATTGTGAATTTGAGCCCCACGTTGGGTGTAGAGATTACTTTAAGCAAATAGTCTGTTTTATTGTTTTAATATTTATTTATTTGAGAGAGAGAATGCACAAGTACGAGGAGGGGCAGAGGGACAAGCAGACTCCCTGCTGAGTGTGGAGCCCAACTCGGGGCTCCATCCCAGGACCCTGAGATCATGACCTGAGCCGAAGTCAGAAGCTTAATTGACTGAGTCACCCAGGTGCCCCTGGATGGTCTGTTTTTAAAAAAGGTTGCTACTTCTGGTGAACAGCAGCAGGCTAAAATTACTTTCTAGTCCCTTTCTGAAATGAAGAAGAATGTCAGTTAATAAAAATAAGATAAAAATGCCAGGGTACATCTCATTATTCCATGAAGTTAGTAGTGAAGAGATTGACAAAGTACATGCAGAATAACTTTGTTTTAGGATTATAACCAGCAAAAGGTCAGTGAAAGTTTGGTCATATTATTGTATATTTTTGTTTTTTAGGAAAACAAAAGCATCAAGTGGGCATCTAGATGGGATTATATTTTGGAGTCCATGCCTCATACCAACATTCAGTGGTTTAGGTAAGTACTTTAGTTTTATTTTTAAATTCATTTATTTTTTTTTAGTAATCTCTACCCTCAGTGTGGGGCTTGAACTCAGACCCTGAGATCAAGAGTCGCATGCTCTTCCAACTGAGCCAGCCAGGCACCCCTACGTAAGTACTTTATGAAACAAAGAATACATAGCTTAAGGGGGGGGATGTAAATATATATTTGTGTTACATATACATATATATATTTTTAAAGATTTTATTTTAGAGAGAGCACGAGCAGGGGGAGGGGCAAAGCGAAAGGGAGAGAGAGAATGTGAAGCAGACCCCCCACTGAGCATGAAGCCCAGGGCAGGGCTCAATCCCAGGATCCCAAGATCATGACCTGAGCCCACATCAAGAGTCGGAGGCTTAACCGACCAAGCCTCCCAGGTGCCCCGATACATACATATTTTTAAAAATTATTTTGTTACCAGAGATGGTCTCGGGTGACATTTTTTCTTCTCTGTGGCTAGTTTCCCCTCTCAAGGGGACGTTCCCTCAGCAGGTCAGATAATGGAGAGGACTGTGTGGAGGTCAGGTCTTGAGTGAAGGGCCGCTCATTCCACTGGTGTTCTTTCTAGTCTCTGTTAGGTGGCCGGGCACTCTGCTGGCCTCTGAGACAGTGTGAGGGAGGCACACAGGCTTCTGCTCCCGTGAAGCTTACTACGTTCTAGTGGATTCAGGTGAAACTGCTTGATTCCTCAGGAATCTTTAACAGGGCCAAACCACAGAGTTAGAAGTTTCAACCTGAGACGGAGGGATGGACCAGCTGAGAATGTGATGATTGGGCATGACTGTGGCAAAGTGCTGAGGGAGGGGTAAGGTGTTAGCTCATTTTGGAGTGGAAGAAGACTATAAAAGTAAAAATGAAAGTGAGGAAAGGTGTGATTCTGAGTATGGTCTTTTGAGGTGATGATTTTCCTTATATTGCCATTGCCTTTAAAGTGAGAATAGCGGGGCACCTGGGTGGTGCAGTTAGTAAGTGTCTGATTCTTGGTTTCAGCTCAGGTCATGATCTCAGGGTCGTGAGATCGAGCCCCGCGTTGGGCTCCATACTCAGTGGGAGTCTGCTGGAGATTCTCTCTCTCCTTCTCCCTCTGCCCCTACCCCCTGCATGCACTCTCTCTCTCTCTAAATAAATCCTTTTTAAAAAAGTGAGAACAGCATCCCCCACTCCTGTTTTTCTAGACTTGTTCCTTCTTCTCCTCTTCCTGCTCTCCCTCCTCCTCCTCTTCTTCATTATTATGATCATACCATAGCTTTTCCACAGAGTCTTTTGTTTGGGCAACTGTCCAGGTCCCATTTTGTTACACCTCCAGGAGTCTCTTCAGATAAAATTTATGTAAATGGTTTTTCCAAAGGGATTGTGAAAGCAAGGGGCCTCCGGATACACTGTGGGGGCTAATCTCTAGTAGTAGTGATATTTATAGCGTAATGAGGAATGTACTTTAGTTTCTGTCATGAGCTAATTTACTTACGACATTTAACAGACATTTTAGACATCAATCATCTTTTTAAAAATTTTTAATTGAAGTATAGTTGACATACAATATTATTAGTTTCAGGTGTACAACATAGTGATTTGACAGTCCTGTACTTTGCGAAATGCTCACCATGATAGGTGTAGTTACCCCCTGTTACCATATACAGTTATTACAGTATTATTGACAATATTCCCTGTGCTGTACCTTTCATTCCCAGGGCTGGCTGGCTGGCTGGCTTATTTATTTATATCAAAAAGTCTAGTCGACACACAATGTTACATTAGTTTCAGGTGTACAACATGGTGATTCAGCAAGTCTGTACGTTCTGCTGTGCTCCCCACAAGTGTGGCTGCCCTCTGTCCCCATACAGCACCGTTACAATACCATTCACGACAACCGCTATGCTGTGCCTTCCATCCCTGTGACTTACTCATTCCATAAACTGGAAGCCTGCACCTCCCACTCCCCTTCACCTATTTTGCGCATCCCCCCACCACCTCCCCTCTGGCAGCCATAGACATCAATCATCTTATTGGCATCTTTTTAAAACAGTGCTGGTCTTTTCATAGATTCTGGTGAAACTTTGTTGACGTGTCTGGGTTTGGCTGGGTGGTAGGATGGCAGAGGTACTGGTTTTGATTTGGGGATAATTTTTACGTTTTAGTTTAAGTAACAGTAAGAGCTCATAGGTAAGTTGTCCATGGGGTCATTACCCTGAAGCTCACAGAATGATAAAAAGACTACAACCTTGGTTTATCAGCTAAGAAGTCAGTCAGCCATTAGTTCAACCTCGATTCCTGAACTTTCGTTCTCAGTGCCATGCTCTGGAACTGAGTTTCTAAGATTTTTATTTTATTTATTTATTTGAGAGAGAGAATGAGAGAGAGAGAGAGGATGAGAGGGGGGAGGGTCAGAGGGAGAAGCAGACTCCCTGCTGAGCAGGGAGCCCGATGTGGGACTCGATCCCGGGACTCCAGGATCATGACCTGAGCCGAAGGCAGTCGCTTAACCAACTGAGCCACCCAGGCGCCCGGAAATGTACTCTTAAATTCTAAAATCACCTTAAGAATAGTGTTGCTTCTTCTTCTTCTTTTTTTTTTTTTTTTAAAGATTTTATTTATTTAACAGAGAGAGACACAGGGAGAGAGGGAACACAAGCAGGGGGAGTGGGAAAGGGAGAAGTAGGCTTCCCGCCAAGCAGGGAGCCCGATGCGGGGCTCGATCCCAGGACCCTGGGATCATGACCTGAGCCGAAGGCAGACGCTTGACGACTGAGCCACCCAGGCGCCCCAAGAATAGTGTTGCTTCTATTGCTTTGTTTGTAATGCACTTTTTGTGGTAGAGCTTTAAGTTCATTTAATATATTGATGTATTCAGCATTTGATCTAAGTTTAACCTTGGAAAACTGATCAACATAAAGATAATTTGCATGTCTTTCTTTTATACATACACACATTTTCTTTCACTGTTCAAATAAGGAGCTTGAGATTTAACTTCTGTTTTTTTCTTCCTTAAATTTTCTAGTATTATGACTTCCTTTGTTATCGTTCTCTTCTTGTCTGGGATGGTGGCTATGATTCTATTAAGAACTCTCCATAGAGATATTATCAGATACAATCAGACGAATTTTTCTGTAAGTAAAAATGCACATATTTGATTCAGTACATATTTGAATGCCTACGCTGCCCAGTTGTCAATGTTATATTTGTACTTAGAGTATAAAATACCTTGAAAACAGCACATTTTCGATGTTTAGTCGTTTTGCCCATTATACCAAATCAGAAGTTATGGGGTTGTGTAGATTTTTAAAAAGTACAAGTAAGTTTATTAGAGAAGTATTTGTTATCAACTCTGGTTCTATTCCTTTTTATATGTTTCTGAACTTTCAGGGTATTATTATTTAAGGTTTTCATTAATTTGAAGCATGAGATAAATGTACCAAACATTGCCAAATGCTATCATTTAGGTTAAATTTAGTTTTATCTCATTTATACTATTTTGACTCTTATAATCATTTGCGTATTGGTGAATTTTAAATGTCTATAAAATTGGTTGAATTCCTTCTGTATGTCAAATGATTTTGCTTTCTTCATGGAATTAAGCCAGGTGTGTGCCCTATATGATGAACACATTCCCCCCAGTGCAAACCTTGGAGTAAGGGAGCAACTTATTTTACGACAGGATCACATACCTTCCAGAGACCCGCTGTATCCAAAATGAGCTATTGGTTTCCAGTTAATCTGTCTTTAGAGTAAAATTCATTTTCGTCTACCTTTCAGAGTTTCAGTAACTTTCTGTCATAGTGTGTGTTTATCAAAGACTTTCTTATGTGCAGGAGGAGGTCCGGGAGGACTTCGGTTGGAAGCTGGTTCATGGGGATGTATTCAGACCTCCAAGGAATAGAATGCTGCTCTCAGCTTTCCTGGGTCAAGGAACACAAGTTTTGATTATGACGTTTATTACCTTATGTGAGTAGGCTCAGATCAATAGGTGTCATCTTAAACATTCTTAGTCAACTGCTGACCTATGTTAAATTTTGATCCATGTGCACAAAAGGACTTTGAAAATACCCTGAAGTTTAAGAAAATGATGTTTTCTAGTACTTACATTTCCATCTTCTCAAATTAAGGAGAGGAGTCTGAATATGTTCCTATGTCAAGGACCTTTCATGGCTTCTTCAGTTCTGAATAATTTATTGTAATGTCCAATACATATATTCCTCGCTTTGCAAAATAGATGCTTTCTTGAAAATCAGCATGTGGGTAGAAGCATATTTAATACGTGGACTAAGGGAATTCATAATTAACCACTAGCATTTTGAAATGCTATGGCAAGCCTAGGCACTGGTCTTTAAATGTATAAACACAATGGCATCTTTAGTAGTCTTTCAATGGCTGATAAACCCTGGCTGCCTTCATTTATAAAGTAAAAAATGGAGCTTGTCAATTTTTGATAGAGTGTTGATTTTCGTAAACAAAGCTGCTGTTAAAAAAAAAAAGGAAGGCTTATTAGGTGTTTCACGTGTCAATGATAATTTCAAAATTCAGCTCTTAAGATTATATTTTCCTGAGACCGAGTCTTGCTTTGATTTTTTTATTCCTCACCTTGAATAAAGGGAAGCAGAAGGAAATTTTTGTGGGGAAAAATGAGTTGCTGTTTAGGGCGTGATCCTGGAGTAGGGAAGGGGGATTTAGTTTGTTTAATTTTGATTTAAGCAGTGAGATTAAAGACTAGACCCCACTTGGAAACTGATTTCATGTGCCCAGTATTGAAAATCACACCTTTTCGTTAAGAAAAAAATTGTCATTAGCTAAGTGAATAACAGTCATTCACAGTGTCACTTAAGTACTCACACCGCAGAATTTCCTCATGTGCTGTTACCCATAATGTGTCTTAATAAGCAGGTCTTTATTATAAAGTCTTGCATGCTTCTGGGGCTGTTATTGTCACTGCTTTGATATTTCTTTTTTGTACCTTTAGTTCTGGCTTGCTTTGGTTTTCTTTCCCCCGCCCATCGAGGGGCCTTGATGACCTGTGCCGTTGTGTTATGGGTCCTCCTGGGAACCCCTGCTGGATATGTGTCGGCTAGAATGTATAAGAGTAAGCATTGCAACTGTTACCATTCCAGTTAGTTGGTGTGTTAAACGTAGACATTAAGAGGCCATAAAAGAAAACATTTAAAAATTGCATGGGGCATTTTAGCTGGCCTATCAAAATGTAACTGGGCCCTGGGTATAAAGTAGTTGAAAAGTGGACTAAATAAGTTGCTACAGTAACTATTTCTGTCTTTTCCTTCCTCAGCATTTAAAGGTGTTAACTGGAAGACAAATTTTTTGCTGACAGCACTATTATGTCCTGGGTTAGTATTGCTCGTTCTCTTTTCCCTACACAATTATACTCTTTCTTAGACTTGCTCTTGGAAAAAAAATCACTGTACCTGATAATGAGGAGTAGAAAGGAGATGAGCGACCACTGTGTTTTCTGTAGCGCCAGCATTCTCTCTCTGTGGTATCTGCATTCCTTTCATCATTTTGTACATCGTAACCTCTAGTACAAAGAGACAGCCGTGGTGCCGCTGTATTCGATTTTGATCTTTGGTTTGGAAGCAGATTTCATAGATGCGCATCTTAGTTATATAGCTTGTGTTATATATCATGTTAGAATGGCAATTTCCGCTCTACCTTGTGTTGTTCCCCTTGTCACTGGCTTCCGGGATCCTTTCTTTCTGTCTCCCCTAGGTCCTGCGGTGTCATTCGTGACTGCAGCTCCCAGGTAGCGTCATGGTCCCCGTGGGAGTGGGCGGGGCTGTGCTGTGGCAGGCCAGTAGCTCCCTCCGCCCCCTCATTATAGAGATGTGGGGTTGGCGGCCAAGCCAGGGAGCAAGTGTTTGAGGTCACAAGGGAAGTTGGTGACAGAGCCCAGGCTATACATAACTGAATGTCCCCCCGGCATCCCGTCCAGGGCTCTTCCCACAGAACCTCACTGATGAGGTGCTGACTCACTTTGGGTTTCTTTCTTTCCTTCTTTCTTTCTTTCTTTCTTTCTTTCTTTCTTTCTTTCTTTCTTTCTTTCTTTCTTTCTTTTTTCTGAAATTTTGTTGGAATTCTTTTTTTTTAAAGATTTTATTTATTTATTAGAGAGAGATTGAGAGAACGAGTGGGAGGAGGGGTAGGGGGAGAAGCAGGCTCCCCGATGAGCAGAGAGCCCCACACGGGACTCAATCTCAGGACCCTGGGATCATGACCTGAGCTGAATGAAGGCAGACATTTAACCAACTGAGCCAGACACCTGGGCGCCTGGGACTTTGGGTTTCATCTCCTTAGTTAGCCTGGGCTACCATAACAAAATACCATAGACTGGGGTGGGGGACGCTTAAACAATAGAAATTTGATTTCTCACAGTTCTGGAGGCAGGGATGTTGGAGATCAGGGCACCAACAGGGTCGGTCCTGGTGAGAGCTGTCTTCCTGGCTTGCAGATGACTGCCTTCTTACTGTTTCCTCACACGGCAGGTGGAGACGGTGAACTCTCATGTTCCTTCTCAGGAAGGCACCGATCTCGGGACACCTGGGTGGCTCAGTCGTTAAGCGTCTGCCTTCGGCTCTGGTCATGATCCCAGGGTGCTGGGATCGAGCCCCGCATCGGGCTCCCTGCTCCTCAGGGGGCCTGCTTCTCCCTCTCCCACTCCCCCTGCTTGTGTTACTGCTCTCGCTCTCTCTCTCTCTGTCAAATAAATAAAAATCTTTTAAAAAAAAACCAAAACACCGATCTCATCATGAAGGCCCTACTCTCATGACCTCATCTAAGCTTAATCACCTCCCAAAGGCCTCACCTCCAAATACCATTACATAATGGATTAGGGCTTCAACATATGAATGGGGGGGGGACACAATGCAGTACATAACACGTTTCATTTCTAATATTCTTTCCTTGATATGTTATAAAGGACAGTTTTTTTTTAAGATTATTTGAGAGAGAGAGAGCATGAGAGAGAGAGCACGTGAGAGGGGGGAGGGTCAGAGGGAGAAGCAGGCTCCCCGCCAAGCAGGGAGCCCGATGCGGGACTCGATCCAGGGACTCTGGGATCATGACCTGAGCTGAAGGCAGTCGCCTAACCAACTGAGCCACCCAGGCATCCAAGGACAGTTTTTTTAAAGGAAAAAGTAGTGGATTATGTCTTAATTGTCATGTGGTACTTTAATTCCTATTTGTTACAAAGTTCCCACATCCGTGATGCTAGGAGTATGTTGCAATAGTGGAAGAGGTCCCATAGTGAAAGTTATACATAGTAAATTCAGTTGCGTTATGTTCTGATTAGTGACAAAGTGAGAGCAAATGCTTTAATAATGCTCTGTGACTGTGTGTCATGCAATAAATCATGCAATGCAGTGATGGGTTCTGTAGACCCATAATCATTCATCTCCATGTGGCTGGTTTCCCTCCAAACTCCAGGGAAAAAGATTAGATCATTGAAAGAATTGAACATTACAAGTTTGCACATCAAATACAGGAACCTCATAATTTTTGACTTATTTAAAATAAGGACAATGCACACCCCTCCCCTTCCCCACCTTGAATAGAGCCATCTGCTTTTCCTATAACTCTTTTCAAGGGAACTAGAATGGGTGGTCTTTTCTGAGGTGAATGCTTTATTACATTTCTGTAAGAAAGCGACGTCCTTGACAATACTTCAGATATTTGTTGCTTCAAGTTCAAGACTCAAATGAATCCAAAACTGAATAAATTTGGCAATGAAGTGCCATTGTGCAAAGGTCATTACACTGAATTGTAATACAAGGGATATTACATGCAAGAGTCAGTCAATAAGCCATTCACTATTCTCTGCATTATTTAGTTACTCATTCAACATAGTTATTGTGGTCTTTTTGGTTTTGTTTTGTTTTTGTTTTTACTATATTTAAGGCATTATGCGAGGCACTATAGAGGAAATAAATACAAATTGCCCCTGAATCTTTGCCTTCGTCGCTCAGGATGAATAATAGTGGCCCATTTTTCATCACACAGATGTTCCATCTAACTGCAATAATAAGTTACATCATTGAAATAGAAGATGTAAAAGAATTAGAATATACCATATCACTAAGCTTGATTAGACAAATTAAACAATTAATGTCTGAAAAGCATTAGCATTTGCAATGCACTATGAGTGGTTTTCATCATGTTTTCTATGGGATCAATTTTGAAGAATGTTTTACACAGAAAAATTTAAAAAATCAAGTAGAAATCCATAATAACATGGCTCAGGTTTACATGGACTATGAAATGATGCAGTGTCAAGCCACGGTTTTGTAAAAGTAAAAAAAAAAAATTTAAATTTGAAAAGCAAATTTAAATAATGGTGGTTGTGCCCTGGGTGGGTTTTTGGGTGGCTGGGGGACAGAAGCGTGAAGGAGACTGTTTATATCAGACTTACTTTTCACTCTTTTTTTCTTAACCTTTTGCATCATATACCATATGCATGTGTTATCTATTTTTATTTTATTATTTTTATTATTATTTTTAAGTAAGCTCCACGCCCTGAGATCAAGACCTGAGTTGATATCAAGAGATGCTTAACTCACCGACCCACCGAGGCGCCCCACCTATTTTTAAATAATTTCATTATAAACAACAATAACAACTCATAACCATATATTAAAGTGGAGAGGTAGTGATAGAAACTACCAGCACAGGCTTTATTTTTTTATTTCTTATTTTTTTAAAAGATTTTATTTATTTATTTGACAGAGAGAGACACAGCAAGAGAGGGAACACAAGCAGGGGGAGTGGGAGAGGGAGAAGCAGGCTTTCTGCCGAGCAGGGAGCCCGATGCGGGGCTCGATCCCAGGACCCCAGGATCATGACCTGAGCCGAAGGCAGACGCTTAACAACTGAGCCACCCAGGCGCCCCTAACACAGGCTTTAGAGACACACACACACACACACACACACACACGCGCGTGCGCGCTCCCATGCACACATACCCTACACTCCGCACATGCATAGCAGTTCATTTCCCAGTTCTGCCTCCTTCTAGTTTCCAGGCCTTGAGCAAATTGTGAATAATGCTGAATGAACATAGGGATTCGGGCATCTCTTTGAGATTTTTGCCTTCTCTTTTATTAAATAGATGTTTTCTATGGCACCATTTTTATTCCTTCGTCATTTCTTCTATTATTTCTTTTGAATTATTTTCTTAGTGGTTACCTTACAGATTACAATTAAATTAATCAATGTATACTAATCTGATTTGGATTAATTCCAATTTAATTTCAATATTATACAAAAACTTTGCTCCCATATAGCTCCTTTCCCTCCTTCCTTCTTTGAGCTGCTGTTGCCATACAGATTACATCTTAATACTTGGCATGCTTGTCAACACAGATTTATAATGATCGCATTATGCAGTTGTCTTTTAAATTAGGCAAAAAAGATCTTCAACTAATATTTACTAATCATGGGTTGTTGGGCAATTGGTTTTACCTCTCTAATCTTGGCTTTCCTCATCTGTAGAATGCAAATCATGGTATTATCTACTTCATGGTTGCTGTGAGGATTAAATGGGATAATGTGTGTAATGGATTTGAAAGAGTGCCTAGCATATACTGAGTGCTCAATAAATGGTAGCTGTGGTTATCAGCTACTCTTGACTTCTGCCGTCATGCCTTTGCTCATGCTGTTCCATCTTTTTGTAATCACCTCTTTCCAATCCTCCAATGCCAAATTTCTATTCTTTTTTATGTCCCAGCTCAAATGCTACCACTTCCATGTTCTGGAATTTTATAGTGTCTATTATCATTACTATAATACTTATCACAGTGTTCCTTAGATTGGAGTTATTTGTGATATGCCTTATCTTACTGTGCATTCTAAAACTCCTGAGGGTGAGTACCATGTCTTATTCATTTCTGTATCTTTCACAGCTTGTAACCAAGTGCCCTATATGGAGTATAAGTGCCTTCTATGGAGTAAGCACTCAGTAAATATCTACTGTATGATTGAATCAAGTGAATAATTTAAAAATGCAAAACAGATTCAGTTTCTTAGTTCTGTTAGTAGAATTGAATACAATTTTAAAGCAATAAACCAGGCATGATACGAAGGACATATTTCCCTCAAGTGGTTTAGGGGCTCTTTTAGGTAGATGGGAGAGAGAATTGTAAGGTACTGGCATTCTTATTTCTTAGAACATAGTAGGTTGAAAGAGAAGTTCAGTGCCTCATGGTATATCAATGTGCAAGTGGCTCATGTGGTGCCATAAATGGGCAGTGTAAAAATGGCTTTAAATTTAAAAGAAGAAGCATTTAGGCTAATGAACATAGATGTTCCCTAAAAGAAATTGAAGAAAGTAAGATTATTAAACCATATACTTTTCCTTCATGTAACCCCAAAAGTGGTAGGTAGGAAAAGGCAGAGGTAGCCTAGTTTGATGGGCATGTACCCAAACTTTACAATTAGAGACAAGCAAGTCTGAATTCCAGCACTTACTATTAGGCTCTCGGTATTAGGTAAGTGACTTTGGGGGAAATCCTATAACCTTCCTGATTGTCCATTTCCTTGCCGGATAATGCCTTTGTCACAGAGTCGTTTAGAGAAATAAATGAACTAATAGATTGTGAAATTTTCTGAGCTATAACGTACTTTTGATCACTCTTTTCTTCCGTATTCCTACTGCTCTGTGTTTATCATCTGCTATAGTATTTCCCATGTTGTATTGTAATTTATTTGTTTATCTCTGTCCCCCACTAGACTGAGCTTTTCAGAGCAAGGGTTCTTATTTATCTTTGAACACCAGGACCTAACACATAGGTACTCAATAAATGTTTGATGAATGTGTGAATAAATGTTTCAGGTAGGAGATGAACCCAGATGACCTCTTAAATTTCCTTTTAGTTTTGCTGTTTAAGATTCCATGAAAAGGTCTAGAAATAATTAGAGATCAACAAAGGAAGAACTATTTAGAATATAAAAACTTGAAACTGAAGGGCAGTTACAGAATTGTTAAACACATATTAACATTCTAGAGTGTACTTTCAAGAGGGAAATTGTTGAGACGGGTTAATTGAGTTTATGTATAAGAAGGGAGGTTATGATTTGTCAAGTGAGAAATAATTTTTCTGGCCATGGAATGATAACAGCTGAAATGAATCTCTCAAAAGCTAGGAAATTTGGCAGAGGAATATTGTGGCTGAACAAATTCATTAGAGCAGAAAGGTATTAAGAAACATTTGAAGAAGTATGGTTAAATCATAGGAAACCAGATTCCCTTATTAAGATGCCAGAAACTAATGAGACCTAAGGTGGAGGTTTACTGTTGTTGCATTTATTGTTGTTTGAAAGAGCTTCGAACCATGTCTCTGGCAGGAGCGTGTGTGAGCCTTTAAAAAGCACAATAGAGGTACCTACTAACATAGGTTTTAGTAGGGAGAAGAGCTCGTACACACAGTGGGGAGGGTGGAGCAGAAATGGTAACATGAAGGAAGAAATGGCTGAAGTTGGTTTATAATGAGAGATGAGGAACATCCCCAAAAAATGATCTTGAATAAGAAATTGGAGAACGGTGGCAGATAGGAAGGCAGCATTATATCCTAGAATTGGAATGGACCTTGAGAGAACTTCCAACTAAAGAATTAACCAGAGCCTTAGCTGGTGCGTCATGATGTGGCTGATGCCACATTCCCTCTCTCTGGTCTTTGACAAAATGTCTGGGGGAAGAGAAGATAGACCTGATTGGCAGGGTGGGTTCCCACCATAGAGGCCTTAGGATGGCACAGTGGCATGGAAACAGCTTGCTCGTGAAGAATCACACACACACCTGAATTAGAATCCCAGCTCTGCCTCTTATCCGCTGTCTGACCTTGAGCAAATTACCTAATACCCCTAAAAGACATGAAGAACTCTGTCTATTCAAGTGACTCCTATTTCTCATGTGCCTGGGTTGTTCATCTAATTTTTCTTTGTTTTTGACCTATTCAATTTTTTCTTTTTTCCTCCAGTTTTATTGAGAACTAATTGACATCCATCACTGTGTAAGTTTAAGGCATACAGCATGATGGTTCAATTTACATATACTGTGCACTGATGACCACAATAGGTTCAGCTCACATCTGTCATCTCCTATAGCTACAATAAAAGGCAAATAAAGAAGAAAAAGGAAAAAAAAACCTCTCCTTGTGATGAGAACTCTTAGGATTTACACTCTTAACTTCCCTATCTATCTATCACGCAGCAGCATTAGCGGAAGCCATCATGTTGTACATTAGTCCTTCATACGGACCTTTTGACCACCTTCTTCCCCCCACCCTGGCCCCAGTTAGCCACAAGTCCGATTTCTTTTTCTATGAGTTTGGTTTGCCTTTTTTTTTTTTTAAAGATTTATTTATTTGAGAGAGAAAGAGAGCGAGCAGGGTATGGGCAGAGGGAGAGGAAGACAATCCCAAGCAGACTCGCCATTGAGCGCAGAGCCCTCAGTCTCATGACCCTGAGATCACGACCCGAGTGGAAACCAAGAGTCAGATGCTAAACCGACTGAGCCACCCAGGTGCCCCGAGTTTGGGTTGCTTTTGTTTTTGCTTTAGATACGTGTAAGTGAGATCATATGGTATTTGTCTTTCTCTTATTTCAGTTAACATAATGTCTTCAAAGTCCACCCATGTTGTCACAAATGATAGGATTTCCTCCATTTTTAGGCTGAATAATATTCCAGTGTATATATACACTGCAACTTCTTTATCCACTCATGTTTCGATGGGCACTTAAGGTGTTTTCATTTCTTCTCCTCCTCCTCCTCATCCTCTTCCTCCTAACACTGCTTTCTAAGACATACTATTAGCTTTATGTTCTAACCCTTTTACTGAGGTTTTTATTCCCCTTGTCGTATTTCTAATTCCAAATAGCTCTTTTATTTCTCACCAGTCCTTAAAGTGTCATCTTGTTTCATGGCTGCAGTGGCTCTTCTAATCTCTTTGTGGATGTCAATCATAGATTTTCCTTTCTAGAGTTTTCCTCTGAGCTGCAGGGACCTTCTCTAAGAGGCTAGACCCTCCAGTCTTCTGCTGGGGTCGGGAAGGGAAGGTCTTTGGCTCTGCGGTGTAGGGGAGGGAATCTGCAGGTCTGTGAGTGTCTTGCGCTGACTTTCAACCAGTCCTGGTTTTGGCCACTCCTTCCCTCCCACTCACAGGGGTACCTGACGCTACATATCCCTGAACCTTTTCTGGAGTTCTGTGGTATAACCTGAGTGGCCTCTCAACTTTTCCTACAGATGACTTGGGATACAGTTTTCCCAGTTGTACTAACTCAGTTACTACTTGTCCATCTGCTGTTTGCTTTCCAAAATTTGTTGCTAATGTCTTCTCTCCTGTATCCCCCATCCTTGTGTATTTGTGCCCTTTTAAAGTTCCTTTACTATCATTTTATCGGAGTTTTGAGGAGGCAGCAGAGCTAAATGTGTGATTTCAATCTGCCATCTTTAACCAAAAGTCTCTCAGTGCTTCATGTCTTTTATATACATCATTTACATTTTAACCATCACCACCTTATACAGATTCGTACCACTTTGTATCTGGTCTCCTTGTCTCTAGTTTCTCTTCCCTTAGGGCTGTCCTTCGCCATGCTGCAGACTCATCTGCCTGGAAGGCTGCGCTGTGTACCCCAGAGCTTTGAGTGTAAAACCCCTTCAGCTGCCTCCTGATGCTGCCAGGAGCAAGTCTACCTTCCTTACCCTGACATTCAAGGCCTTCCACAATCTAGCCTCTGCCCACTTCTTCACCCTCATTTTTAGGCTTTCAGAAGCACTCACATCCATACCCACATTCACCTGTAGCTTTGACCAAGCTTATCTGGAACCAATAGGGGCACAATAGCTGGGCTTGCCTGGTGATTTATCCAGTAGATTCAGCAGCTGACCTGTTGATTTTGAGTGACTGATTTAAAGCTCTTGTGTTAAGTGAACACTTGTTGGACTTGAGACTCATAGCCCATTTCAGTCTGGAATTCTGTTTTCAGTATGTGCATGTTCTTTTTTTTTTTTTTTTTTTTTTTTTTTTAAAGATTTTATTTATTTATTTGACAGAGAGAGACACAGCGAGAGAGGGAACACAAGCAGGGGGAGTGGGAGAGGGAGAAGCAGGCTCCCCGCAGAGCAGGGAGCCTGATGCGGGACTCGATCCCGGGACCCTGGGATCATGACCTGAGCTGAAGGCAGTCGCTTAACCAACTGAGCCACCCAGGCGCCCCTTAATTGTGTTCCCTATATTGCACATTGAGTTTTTCCGTGGTATATTACTCTACACCTTACTTATTTTCTGCTAGACTCTGGAGGTGCGAAGATGAGTAGGATGTAGAAATGATGTCTTATAATAAACTGCTGCCTTATTATATGGTATTGGGTTTAAGCCCCGGCTCAGTGGCTGGGTTTCCACAGTGAGACTTCATATTCTTCTAGGGTTTAGCCTTGTCACTTACTATATCCTTCCCACCAAAAGAATGTTCTGACATTCACATCAAGTATGATTATAACATTTTCCTGAAAGCATATTGTTTCCTGATGTTTTTTTCTCCCTAGTGTCGTCTTTGTCGACCTTTTCTTTATGAACCTGATTCTTTGGGTGGAAGGGTCATCGGCTGCAATCTCCTTTGGTACCCTGATAGGTATCCTTGCGATGTGGTTTGGAATTTCAGTACCATTAACATTTTTGGGTGCATACTTTGGAAGCAAGAAAAAGGTAAATTTGTAAAATACTGCTGTTGGCAATTGACTAATGTCTGAAATAATACCTCAATGTGTATATTACTATATATGGAATGCGAAATGTACCATTGGCAAAAACTACAAAGGATAATCATTTTGGAATCAAATATTTTTAAAAATTTTTTAAAATGAAACACAGTAATACTTCAAAAGACACTATTTAATGTACTTCCCACTTTATAGGTTGTTTATATTTCTGTCTATCTCTGTTGGATGAAATTAAAGGGACATATTGTCAAAAGGGGCACCCACACCCCAGTGTTTATAGCACAACGTCCACAATTACCAACATATGGAAAGAGCCCAAATGCCCATCAGCAGATGAATGGATAAAGATGTCATATGAACTCTCTCTCTCTCTCTCTCTCTCTCTCTCTCTATATATATATATATATATACTTTTTATATTGATGACAAATTTAACTGATAATATTTGGAGGTGTTAGATGAAATGAAATGTATTCATAAATTGATTCTGCCTATTTGTTTTTAAAATTTTTTAATTTATATTTCTGAGAGAGTGAGAGAGAGCACGAGTGGGGTTGGGGGGATACTGAGCAGGGAACCCGATGCGGGGCTCGATCCTAAGACCCAGGGATCATGACCTGAGCTGAAGGCAGATGCTTAAGTGACTGAGCCACCCAGGTGCCCCGATGTTGCCTATTTCTTTTCACTTTTAAAAATGCAGCTTCTAAAAGCTTTAAAACTGCATATATGGCTTGTATTATATTTCTATCACACAGTGGTCTAGGCTCTGCCCACATGACTGCTCTTGGAAGTGTTCCATGTCATGTTCCGATTCAGGATTCTGTGTTGTGATTATATGTATATAAATTCACCTCAATTTCATTCATTCTGATTTTCACTTGATTTCTTTTCGAGCAGTTTAAGCATCCAGTTCGCACAAACCAGATTCCCCGTCATATTCCTCAGCAGAATTTCTTCACCAGACCACTTTTTGGCATCATAATCGGTGGCATTTTACCTTTTGGCTGTATTCTTATTCAACTCTTTTTCATTCTGAACAGTATCTGGTGAGTATTGGATCTTCATAATCTCAAAAAAATCTTAATTGTTGATCAATTAATTTTCCTGTATTTCAAGGAGGTTAAATTCTGGTATGGTAAAACTTCATTTGACACCCCCCCCCCCACGCTTTTTAATCCAGGAAATGGCAGTCTGACCCCAGGGGAATTTCCTAGGGAACTTTGACTTAATTCACAAGTTTTTCAAGACACTTTTTGATGGAAATTTCTATGCAGGTTTCCTTTTTAAAAAGTAATAACCTCTTTTTAAGCCTTTCCAGATGACTTAGAAAGTTGGCTCACACTGTACTACTCTGAGCCTTTGCAGGGGGTGGGGCAGGGGTGTCCCTTGGAAGGAGGCGCCTAAAGATGAGAAGAGGCAGCCCTGATGTATCTCTCTTTTCTGTACTGACCTTCCATGCAAGATTTCAGAGTTCCTCTGCTAAAAATACTTTGAAGACCACTGACTCTGGGTCTTCATCTGTCCTGAGCTGTAAGTAATGTTTTTCTGCTCTCCTGTCTGTCAGCTGTTAGCTCTGTTGTCAGCATGCCTGCTCCTTACAGTGTTCCTCTTTCTATTTGTTACTTTGAAACTGTCGTGATTTAAGAATTCTGATATGTAAAGTAAGAACCCGTGCTCTCTGATGCAAGTTCGACAGCTTCAGCTTCTCCAAGTCCTTTTTTTTTCTTAATTCCTGATTCTTGACTGCATTCTCGTTTCAGGGGCGGGTCGAGTGGGGTGGTGCTGCAGAGGGAGTTTTGGAGATGGGGCAAAGTCCCCATAAAATCCAAGGCAGTAGCCAGCTGTGTGTGTTTAGAATGCTTTTGTCCCAAAGCAGTCTTTCAGACACAGCTTTCAAGTCCTCAAAAGTTAGGCTTAATCATGCACATTAATTGCTCACCTTTTAAACAGCATTGTGCCAAATTTGTTTAAAAGATAAGCAATAAAGTTTGTTACCTTGTCAGCAACTAAATATTTAACCTGCTGCAAAATAGATTATAGTAACCGCATTTTCCAGATGTTTTTGATGGGAAAATAATTTTCAAGTGAAAACTAGAAGAGTCTTCAGACAAGTTTTATTTCAATGAAACAGAGTGTGCTTGCTGTATGCAACTTTGTATATGTTCATTATCTACAGAGATGATTTTCCCCAAGCCCCATCCCTCGCCCTTGTGCCCAGGGATACATTCTGCAGGAGATTTTAAAATGGGGTATCGATTGGTTCCTCAGTTTCTTTTCTTTAGAAGGCTTTTAAAATTGCTCATCCCAATTTAGTCAGCTCGGCTCTGTAATAATGAAAGAAATGACTTTGTTCCTCCAAAGTCTGGCAGAAATGTAATCCACACACAGAGCTTTAAGAAGATGCACATCTGAAAGTATATATATATATTCTATCAAATAGACCTATTGGGGGAGGCTGCCTGTCAATAGAGCTTCAAAGGCAAGGCAGTATTTGATTCTGTGGTTTTGTGTTATATAACGTAGTCGCTGGCATTTTTGCACTTACCACCTTCCGTTGCTAAAAAGAAAGCACGGTTTAAAATGTGCCTAAAGAAAATGACAGAGATACTGATGGGTCTCAACTGAATACTGAATGACGTGAGCAGAGAATTATGGGTAAGTAGCCACACAGATACGACCTGGACAAGATCAGGCAGAACTCTGAAGCCACACAGGTCAGGGAGTATCTTTTGGATACTGGATGGATAGATGAAGGTTTGGAATGAGTTGCTAAGGCTTGAGAAGTGTGGCCGTCTCTTGTATGGATTTGGATTGGGCTTTCTGTGTACTGTGAAGTTAATTTTAAAGCTGTCATTTTTATTTTCAGGTCTCATCAGATGTACTTCATGTTTGGCTTCCTTTTCTTGGTCTTTATAATTCTCTTGATTACCTGTTCAGAAGCTACAGTTTTGCTGTGTTATTTCCATTTGTGCGCTGAGGTAAAGACCTAAGAAACGAATGTATCTCGTGCTTCCAAAACTCGTGTTATTGGAATTAGAAGCCTGTGTTGAGAAAGGAATTGAAACAACTGTTAACTGCATGGTTTCTAGAATGTGGGATCAGTTTTTTTTTTTTTTTTAAGATTTTATTTATTTATTTGAGAGAGAGAGAATGAGAGAGAGAGCACATGAGAGGGGGGAGGGTCAGAGGGAGAAGCAGACTCCCCGCCGAGCAGGGAGCCCGATGCGGGACTCGATCCCGGGTCTCCAGGATCATGACCTGAGCCGAAGGCAGTCGCTTAACCAACTGAGCCATCCAGGCGCCCAGGGATCAGTTTTATATTGTGTTTTCCTGATGACACATTTTGATTTTGATGCAGCTATCAAGTTAATGCGACTTTGATGGAAAATTTAAACAGAAAGCAATTTCTCTCTGGCTAGTTACTATAATTGCTGCATAATATTCAGTTAACATAGAAAAATATAGGGAACTGATTTGATATTTGGACATATAAAAGATCTGGTTCAATGTAGCCTTTTTTTTTTAACAATTAAAATTTTCTCCGCTTAGGCCAGCATTGTGTTTTATGGGTTTGAGATTGCTGCTAAAGGCCCTTTCTCTTATTTTCATTTCATGCCTTTTGGTTACCATGGACATAAATAGTTCTGTTTACCCCACTCCACCCCCATTTTTTTTTCTGATGTCATTCTGGATAATTAAGGTGGTAGTGAACATTATTTTCATAAATCCCCTACATCCTTCTTGTTTTGGTAGTTAAATGTCACTCTCTAAAGGTGACAATAGAGAGTTTAGGGAATGGTTATCGTATACATGATGTCTGAGAGCATTTTCATAGGCATATGATGTGTATATTTCTATTTCTTAGATGGGGTGCCTGGGTGGCTCAGGCAGTTAAGCATCTGACTCTTGATCTCAGCTCAGGTTTTGATATCAGGGTCATGAGTTCAAGCCCCACTGGAGCCTAGTTAAAAAAAAAAAAAGAAATGTTTTGGAGGCTCCCAAGACCACCCACATATTTGGCAGCTTACTGGAAGGACTTATGGGACTCAGCATAAAGATGTATGCATGGCTAGGGCCTATTATAGCCAAAGGATACATAACAGAATCAGCAAGGGGAGAAGACACAGGTGGAGTCTGGAGAAATCTACATACAGTCTTCCTATGCTTTCTCTTTTCCACGAGAGGATACATCAGTTGTGCTCCTTTGTCCAGCAGTAAAAAGTATAGTAATAGATATGTGATGTTTGTGCCCAGGGAAGCCCATTAGAGACTCTGCATCCAAGGTCTTCATTAGGAGATAGTCATATAGGCACCCTCTGCCTAGCAACTACAAAAATTCCAGACTCCCAAAAGGAAAGCAAGTGCTCATCATAAATCACATTGTTTGTACAGTCTAGGTATAGCAAACCAGTCTTATCAGTCAGGGAATGATTAAATGCCAAATTCCCAGATGTAAGCCAAGGGCCAACCTTGCAAGCAGACCCTTCTAAAGATAGTAACTTCAGACCTGCTATGTTAACTCTTTTCTGTACTGTAGGTCTCCTTGACCCTCGACCACAGTGCCTTTACAGTAAAATTTTTTTTCTGTCTTTTAAAAAAATTTTTTTAAAAATTTTTATTTATTTGAGAGAGAGAGCATGAGCAGGGGACAGAGGGAGAAACAGACTCCCTGCTGAGCAGGGAGTCTGATGTGGGGCTCGATCCCAGGACCCTGGGATCATGACCTGAGCTGAAGGCAGATGCTTAACCAACTGAGCCACCCAGGCGCCCCATCTTTTTTTTTTTTTTTTTTTTAAGTAGGCTCCACCGCCCAGTGTGGGGCTTGAATTCAACCTTGAGATCAAGAATCGCATGCTCTCCCCACTGAGCCAGCCAGGTGCCCCTACAGTAAAATTAGCATCATCAGGAGCCCGTAGAATACGCAGAACTTGCGTATTGACCTCAGTCATGCCTCCCTGGGTCCCAAATTCAGCTGGGTAAAACAAATCGCATTCGCTATAAAGCTCTATCTGAAGTTTCTGTACTAATCTTTTCCTACCTAGCCTGAGGCAGCTCTGGCCAGTAAATTGAAGCTGACCGGAAAACCTTCTAAGGCTGAGGCAGCGTCCCAATAGAAAGGATGCTCCTGATAGAAAGGATGCGTGCATTACATGTGCAGACCCTGAGGGCACACATGATCTCCCTGGAAACAAAGAGTTTATACATGTTAAGGCACTCCAAGCAGACGTACATTAGTCAGACAGTGTATACCACATTGAATTTCTTTTTAAAAAAAGATTTTTAAAAATTAATTTATTTGACAGAGAGAGACACAGCGAGAGAGGGAACACAAGCAGGGGGAACGGGAGAGGGAGAAACAGGCTTCCCGCTGAGCAGGGAGCCGGATGCGGGGGCTCGATCCCAGGACCCTGGGATCATGACCTGAGCTGAAGACAGGCACTTCACCAACTGAGCCACCCAGGCGCCCCCCACATTGAATTTCTTATAAAACTTCCTCTTTTATTTCTTTTACTGCATAATCTAATGAAGCCTATTTTAGGACAATAATTCGTAACCCATTTATAGTTAGATTTCACCTAAAAAGTTGTTTTTGCTATTTCTTTTTGCAGGATTATCATTGGTGCTGGAGAGCCTTTTTTACCAGCAGTTTTACAGCTGTTTACCTTTTCATATATGCAGTTCATTACTTCTTTGCCAAACTTCAGATCGTGGGCATTGCAAGCAGCATTTTGTACTTTGGGTACACAATGGTCATGGTCTTGATTTTCTTCCTTTTCACAGGTAACCACAGAATTACTTCATGCATTTCAGACTCTCTGAAGAGACTTGGAGATAGCCATAATGTAATAAGCATCAATTAACAATTAATGGAAGGAATAGGGAACAAAGTCATCATGTTCATTTTTATGCTTTGGGGATAAAAGATTGCAAAGCCTGGGGAACTGGAGGGACCTTATGTACTTAGCTCCAAGGTTGTCCCTTGTGAATGTTTTTAAACAGTAGGGATGTGTTCCAAAGCACAGAAAGGGTTATGTGTAATCACCTTTGAATAGCCTCCAAGCATAAACATTAACTGGCTTGAATAACTTTTAAATTAGCAAAAATAGATTAAGTAAATGTGTAGTCATATAAGCAATTAGATGCGAGGGACAAGATGTAGACTTCTCAGGATTATTCATTTGGGGTTGTTATTTGGGTTCAAGATGTGATGGCAACTCTTGTTTAGATTAATGCTTAAAGCCATAAAGGTGGCAAAATGGACTGGTTTATAAAATGATTCAGTTAGAGAAATAAGGAAGTTGGAGAGCTTGGAACCCTTTTCAGGACGAGTGAGGCAGCTTTCCATTCTATCTGCCTCACTTTTTTTTTTTAAGATTTTATTTTATTTTATTTTATTTTATTTTTTTATTTTTTATTTTTGAGACAGAGAGAATGAGAGAGAGAGCACATGAGAGGGGGGAGGGTCAGAGGGAGAAGCAGGCTCCCCGCCGAGCAGGGAGCCCGATGCGGGACTCGATCCCGGGACTCCAGGATCATGACCTGAGCCGAAAGCAGTCGCTTAACCAACTGAGCCACCCAGGCGCCCTTAAGATTTTATTTTTAAGTAATCTCTACACCCAACGTGGAGCTTGAACTCACAACCCTGAGATCAAGAGTCCTATGCTCTACCAACTGAGCCAGCCAGGTGCCCCTCTACCTGCCTCACTTTTAAGTTCTGGTTTTCGCTCAAGTCACATGACTTATCTACATCACTTGGGCAAATTTCAAGTATTCTCTGATTTTAACTCTCAGGTTTAATAGATACGTAAAAATCAACTATGGAAATTTGTCAGAAATCAAAGCCTTAAGACAAGTGTCTTGTCTTGGTGTCTCCTTACCTGAGAAACCAAGGAATCTTGGTGGGTCTCCTTGTTTAATATTGTATTACCTATAAACTGCCAGTCTTAACTCCTCAGTACATAGAAGACTATGCTGGACTCCTCACATCTCTCAGCCACCAGACTTTCTATTTAAAACTGAAGGCCTGAGAATGTCTCACCATCCTAGTCTAACCAGGCTTTTCATGTGTTTTGCGGTTTTTCTAACTTTGTATTTAAAATATGCATACAGAGAAGTGCACACAACATACACCATACACATACAGCTCGATGAGTTATCGCAAAGTGAACCCACTTTTGTAACTATTGCTGGTGTCAATGAACAGTACATGATCAGTGCCCTGGAAGCCACTTCTCTCTACTCACCTTCCCCAAAGGCAGCCACTCCCCTGACACCTAGCATCATGGATTAACTTGGCCTGTTTTTTTTTTTTTTTTAAAGATTTTATTTATTTATTCATGAGAGACAGAGAGAGAGAGAGACAGAGGCAGAGGGAGAACCAGGCTCCCAAGGAGCAGGGAGCCCGATGTGGGGCTCGATCCCAGGACCCTGGGATCATGACCTGAGCCGAAGGCAGACGCTTAACCAACTGAGCCACCCAGGCGTCCCAAACTTGGCCTGTTTTTGAATTGTGCATAAATGGAATCCTACAGGATGTACTCTTTTACGTCTGCTTTCTTTTCCTTGGTATTGTTGGTGAGGTTCCTCCACGTTGCTGTGTGTAGACCTTGTCTACACCCCTCATGTCTTTTGTTTTGGATTTCTCCCCCAGTGACTGACTGGCTTTTATATTTGGGTGATGTGCAGTTGGATGTGTCTCACACAGTAATTTCAGGCTTCTGTTTTCTTCAATACCTAGCACTTTGACTCAGGTTGCTTTTTTCTGAGAGTCTTGTATGACAACAGCTTCTTTCAGAAGGTAGATGGAATGCTGAATGGTCACATTGCTGATAGAAATCTTCTCCCATTGGTTGGCTGCACCACTTGTCGTCTCTTCTGTCACACTCCACTGAATACTGACTTTTTTTTTTTAATACTAGGATTGTTTTCTTTTTTAAAGATTTTATTTATTTATTTATTTGAGAGAGAGCAAGAGTGAGAGCGCACAAGCAGCAGGGGAGCAGCAGAGGGAGAGAAGCAGGCCCTGGTGAGCAAGGAGCCCGATGTGGGGCTCGATCCCAGGACCCCGAGATCATGACCTGAGTCGAAGGCAGACACTTAGCCAACTGAGCCACCCAGGTGCTCCTGAATACTGACTCTTAAATCTTTTTTTTTTTTTTAAGATTTTATTTATTTATTCGACAGAGAGAGACACAGCAAGAGAGGGAACACAAGCAGGGGGAGTGGGAGAGGGAGAAGCAGGCTTCCCGCTGAGCAGGGAGCCCGATGTGGGGCTCGATCCCAGGACACTGGGATCATGACCTGAGCCGAAGGCAGACACTTAACGACTGAGCCACCCAGGCGCCCCTCCTGAATACTGACTCTTGAAGGTTCCCAGTGATCCCTTGCCAGATCAAATGGCCTTTCCCTAGCCTTCACCCTCCTTGGCTTCTGCAGCTGACTACTCAGCACCTATTCTGTGAAACTCTCTCAATGTAATTTGCATCATTCTCCTTGTACCTCCCTTCCTCTTGCTGTCACCTACCTCTAGCCTTTATACAAGGTTCAGTCTTTAGCATTTCAGGCCCCTCTTTGTACCCTCCCCGTTTCAGAGCTCATCCAGTCCCATGGCTTCATCTACCTCCTCAATGCTGACAGCTCCTAAGTCTATGCAGTTAGATTCTGAACATTTGCCTGTCCCATTGGCACTGCCAACTCAACACGCCAACTCCAGTGAGTGTAGTGCTTCCTTTCCCAAGACTGACTCATTTTAATTTCTTTCCATCTTTGATGTGTTTGTTTATTTTAGAGAGACCTAGTATGGAGGGAAGGGGCAGAGGGGGAGGGAGAGGGAGAAGCAGACGCCCCACTGAGTGCAGAGCCCAATTTTGGGGGGTGGGGACTTGATCCCACAACCCCGAGATCATGACCTGAGCCAAAATCAAGAGTCGGACACTCAACCGACTGAGCCATCCGGGCATCCCATGAAGTGTTTTTGGCATCTGTTTTCTAGAACTGTTCTTTAAGAAGCCCTGTCTGCTTATAGACCCTTAAATGGCATCTCTTTACATTTCATCATTATATATTTTTTCCTGTCATATGTATTTTTTCATCATCATTATATTTTGAGGTTCACAGCAGGAAGTGAGGCTTATTGCTTATGGTCATGTTTCACTTTTGAGGAAGACATCCTTAATTAAATCATTAGTCTTGAGAATATGGATGTACACAAAGGTACAGTTATTAATTGCTGATTACTCTTTCTTGCTGTAGACAAATGCTTCTGAGAGGGTTTTTTTTTTAAATGGCAACTTGAAAATTAGCAATATCCACTCATGTTAAAAATGCCGAGGAGTTTCACACTCATTTAGAATAATTATGCATTCATCCAAAGCTCTTCCTTGTGGTCACCACATTGTCTTTGGTATTTGGATTCATCTGTGTCATCACAGCAGAAGGATAAGACTTCACAGCTGTCATCTTTCAATATTGAGTATTGTGACTGTAGGGAAGACTATTTATATACTAAGTATATTTCCATGTTGCTACAAATCCTTTATTTTTACTTATTTTTTTAAAAAATTTAATCTCTACACCCAACATGGGGCTCAAACTCACGATCCGGAGATCAAGAGTCACACGCCCTTCCGACTGAGCCAGCCAGGTGCCCCAACTATGAATCCTTTATATTTATCATTTGTAAGGCTGCTTAATCTATTGAGCAGATTATTTAACCATTTCTTGCCTATCGAACTTGTTTTTTCTGTTTTGAATTATTTCCTTAAGACAGTCTGTGAAATGGGATAGCAGGGTCAAAAAGCATGAATATTTTTATGATTCTTTATGCTTTTCTGCCATTAGCACAGTGTATTGGTTTCCCCACAACCTTGGCTGGCACTGAGTATTATTTTTGAACAAACAAAACAAAACCCCAAAAGTGGTTTTCTTTTTTGTTAACACAGTATGTCTAGAATGGCATCCCATTGTTTTCTTCCTCTCATTTTTTGAGCCAAAGGAAGTGATGTGCATTGTGGCTGGTGTTCCTCTACCCAATTTTTAGTTGGTGGCACACTTACAGATGTGTAAACAACATGTCGACTTAGGATTCAAGGGACAGGGAGAGGAAAGATAAGCCACAATATATCAACAATATCACCAGAGGGTACCAGGACGGAAACCTTGTATTGTATAGACTAAGATAAATAAATTTCAGTTAAGTGTGGGTGACTTGCCCCAAATCTTAACTGGTTTTAAAAAACTAGTTTATCAGCTGGTTAAGCTAGTTAAAAAAGAAACTAAGTCTGTGCATTACCAACTAGGCTATGCTGTCTTCCAATCTGATTGTTTTCCTCTGATTTCTAATGGATGCTCATTGATGGTTCACTTATGGATACTTGGTCTCGATTGATGGTTCACTTATGGATACTTGGAGGATAGTTAGTGATTTTTATTTGCATCAAGTTTTGTTTTAGGTATCAATAAATGAGTTAAAGTCTTTTTTTAAATTTTATTTTTAAGTAATCTCTATTACAACCCCAAGATCAAGAGTCAGGCTGTACTGACTGAACCAGCCAGGTGCCCCAAATGAGTTAAAGTCTTAAGAAAATGACTTGAAATAATGTAGTTTTGTAGATTTTGATAGGAAGGATATAAAATCACAATAACCAATTAAGATCTAACACTTAGGATTCCTTCTTTAAAAGTCTAAAGTGCTATGTTGTATTATAATAATGGCATTTATAGCCTAATGTAAACCTTGAAATCTTTTATGTGATGATGTATGTTTTAAGCAAGCAATGAAA